AAAATAATACGTAGTAATATTCAAAATATTAATACTAAAAACACATGAACTTTTGTATACTCCGTATATAATAGTTAAAAATAATACTACGTAATGTTCCAGAGCATTTATGTATATTAAAAATAATAATAGTGATTATACAAAATAATGGTTAATGTGCTTATCAAAAATAAAAGGCTAAGTTAAATTTATATATTTTGTATCAGTATCTTTAATAGTCATTTTACGTCTTAAAATCTACTCCGTAATTGTGATAGAGATTGGTTAAAACAGCTAGCAAAATTTGCTAATATCGAACAACCAATATAATTTGATTATATGTTAACAGCCAACAGTTGATTGTCAAATGACCCTATTCTTTGAGGAGTAGAACTGGGAACAACTACATCTTAATTTAGATCCTTCTCTCAAACAAACTTGAAAGCAATTTTTACCCTTTAACCAACATAGCAGCCGTATAATAACAAAATATTGAAATCACATATTTCAGACCACTTGAGGTGATTGCAAAGCCACTTGATTGATTGCAATTTGCAAATTTAGTTTGTTGCTTAGAGATACTCCGTATCTTGGAAAGAATGAGATTGAGGCGCAAGAAGGTTACCCAAACTAAATACACTCTTAGCTTCACTGAATAGGCATTGCTCCAAATTGGTTTGTGTTTAACTGTTTATGTATGATTGTAGCATTGGTGTATCAAATTAAAGGCCATTCTCAAGCCTCCACTGTTTGGGGTAGGTCCTTATAAGAGTGTACAAAACCAAGGTGATGTTTAATGGTTTCCTTGAAACCACTATAGGTCTTTGTTTTAAATTCCTTAAATATCTATGAGTAATCATGTGTGTTTGAAAAAAAAAAAAAATAGCCCTTGCAAAAACAGAAAGGTAACGTTAAGTATTATTTAGCTTTACATCTATTTGGAACATTTTCTCTATCTTTCCCATATTGATATTGCTCCAAATAGCTTCAGAGTATTTCAAAAGTTTAAAAATAGAAATGTATGTTTTATATTTCAAAAATATGAGTTTCAATTGCTCTTTTATCCCAATGAATTTATATAGCACGAGAGAGTTTGGTATATTAAATCCACAAACATTATCATTTTCTGTTGAGGTTTATTCCTTCAACCCTCGGGTCCAACACGTAAGGCCAAGGATTTCGAGTGGAGTAGGTGTGAGTAAACTAGCCCAAGAAACAACAAGGTAGCAAGTAAGTGATTAGGTATTATTATCTCTTAATAACTCCCTAATACAATACTTTTCGCTAAGGCTCGTCGGCCGTTCGTCTTACAAGGCAGTAGAAGTGCTGCGAGTAAGAATACTATAGCTAGAGTGCTAAGAATAGAAAGTTGTCCATTAATGGGAGCTCAAAATGTACTATGTAATGATGATGAGAGTTCTAATGAGAAAGAGAGGGCTTGGACATTAGCCTAAAAAGTCCCGTGGTTTTCTCCCTTTCGAGTTTCCACGTAAAAACTGAGGATGTTTTTACTTAGACTGTAATTTGCTGGTCTGGTCTGGTCTGGTCTGATCTGGTCTGGTCTGGTCTGAACTGGTCTGGTCTGGTCTGGTAAGGTCTGGTTTCTTTGTATTTTTATAACTATCCAAGTCTGGTCTGGTCTGGTCTGGTCTGCACTGGTCTGGTCTGGTCTGGACTGGTCTGGTCTGGTCTGGTCTGGGACAAATTACAGTCCAAGTAAAAACATCCTGAGTGTTCATATTGGGCCGCATGAACTAATTTAAACATGAATAGTTAATGATATGGTACCTAAGGAATTTCATTGAGTTCCTTTGGTGTTTGGAACGGTTATTAGTCATCATCTTGATGGAAGCCTCAGCTCGTGATCTTTTTTACAAAGCTAAGGAGGGGCAAATCTAGAAATCAGAATGAAGTAGATTGAAAATGAATACTAACTGGAATATGTAATTTGTTAATGTGGTTGCTGAATATATAATTTTTTTTACTAAAAAAAATTGAGTGTGGATATGAATCTGTTTACTTTATCGTCGATTCGTCGATCAAACCTAGTAAACGTGGTAAAATTGAGACCGATGGAGTAATATATAGTAGGCTAAAAGTAATTAGAAGGTTGGCTAGATTGGGAAACAAAAAAATTACACTAACAAATTAAATCTATGAATAAGGGAGTGTTTGTTGTTGCTTAAAAAAAGCACTTTTCAGCTTTTGGCTTAAAAAAAGTTGAAAAGAGTGTTTTCAAATGACAGCTTCTGCTTAAATTAATCACTTAAAAGCTAAAAGCTGGAAGCAGGTAGAAAGGTGCTTTAAACTGCTTTTCACTTTTTATATTACACAAAAATCACTTATTTTACCAAACACTACCAACTTTTACTTTTTTAGAATCACTTTTTTATCAAACACTACCAACTTTTACTATTAATCACTTTTCCCAAAATCACTTTAAAAAATCACTTTTTTAAAGTTGAAACAATTGCAAACACTCCCTAAATTAATTTGTCCCGAACTTGAGTCTGGAGCCATTATAAGGGAGTGCTTGCTAATGATTAAATAAATGTTTTTCAGTTTTTGGTTTAAAAAGTTGAAATGAGGCTCTGTTTGCAAACTCAACTGAGAAGTGCTTTTAACTTTTTTAAATGATTTGGTAAAAAAATGATTAATAGTAAAAGTTGGAAGTGTTTGAGAAAAAAATGATTTTGAAAAGTAAAAGTTGGTGGTGTTTGGTAAAATAAGTGCTTTTTGTGTAATAGAAAAAGTAAAAAGCAGATTCTAGCTTTTAAGTAATTCATTTAAGTAGAAGTTGTCATTTGAAAACATCTTTTTTAGCTTTTTTAAGCCAAAAGCTGGGAAGTGCTTTTTTAGTTGTGTTTGCAAACAGAGCCTGAGTGTTTTCAAATGACATCTCTTGCTTAAATTAATCACTTAAAATCTGAAAGCAGGTAGAAGGATGCTTTAAACTGCTTTTCACTTTCTCTATTACACAAAAAATACTTATTATACCAAACACTACCAACTTTTACTTTTTCAGAACAACTTTTTTCTCAAATAGCACCAACTTTTACTACTCCCTCCGTTCTTTATTATTAGTCCTCCATTCCATTTTGGACTTGTTTTTTTATTTGTCCTCCTTTCCATTTAAGGAATGTTTTTACCATCAATATACATTTATACCCCCACTTTTATTACCATTACCCCTTTCTCTTTTCTACATTTTCATTTACCCCCTACTCATTACACATTTTACACTATCCCTATTACTTTCCTCTTAAAACCCATGTCAAAGTCTAAGAAGACTAATATTATAAAACGAAGTACGTGAGTATGAAGTATTTTCTCTAAAACCACTTTAAAAAGCAATGACAAACACTTTTAAATGTGGTATAGATTCTCTTTGAAACTAAGCTACGTAAGTAAGTAATGCCTATCGCTACGCCTCTAATTATTTTTACAGCATCCAAAGTAGTTCACGCATATACTTGCCTGAAAACCCATCTATCTGCAAATGGAACCAGAATGCTCTTAGTTTAACTAGCTAATATTATATAGAGGACTGCTCAGGTCCCTCCGGAGGGACGGGAGAAACCGTCCGAACTTTACTGTTTGGGGCGGTTCCCGGTGGAATTTTTTGATGAAATTTTTTGAGCATGTTCCTCATCAAGTCTAGTTTGTCCATACCAAATTTCAGCTCAAAATTCGACCGGGAAGGCAGTCAAATAAATTCTTGAAACTTACTGCACTTTATATATGCGCAGAATGTGCAGTAAGCTTCAAGAATTTATTTGACTGCCTTCCCGGTCGAATTGTGAGCTGAAATTTGGTATGGACAAACTAGACTTGATGAGGAAGATGCTAAAAAAATTTCATCAAAAAATTTCACCGGGAACCGCCCCAAACAATAAAGTTCGGACGGTCCCTCCCGTCCCTCCGGAGGGACCTGATCTTTTCTGATATTATACATTTATAATATACAATAACTATACTAATATAAAGAATATTCCCTCGGGTTCTTAAACAAATTCACAATTTAACTTTTGAGAGTCAACCTTTATTAACTTTGGCCCCTTAATTATATCTATCAATAGAGAATTGAGATATTTGTACCCTGTCAAAGTAGAGAAGTTTGGCAAATTCATTTATTTTAAAAAAGGTGACAACTCCCATACCCATTTAAAAAATGGGGTACCGTACCTACCATTAACTTGATTGGTCTAAATCATGATATCATTTTAAATTTAGATTTAAATAGTTCAACTGCAACATTTTCATTAGTCCATGTGGACAAAAGTATGGTACCTTATGAGTACCATAAAATCTACCTTGCAAAAATAGAATTATCTAAATAGGAGTAAAACGTGCCTAAAATCACAAATAGGACTACATATATTGTTTTGAATATTTGTGAATGATTTAGGGAGTATGTTTTAGTCGTATTCCTGCAATTATGTTTTCATTTAGTCCTATTTAGGATAATTACTAAACAATATATTATTCCCCTTTGTCCCACAAAATTTGGTCAAAGTTGACTTGCACGTAAATTAATAAAGTAAAAATTGTGTGATCCAAATTTTTGCATAGGAGAGAGAAATAACATTATTAACCACATATTTCTTATTTTAAATGGAAATGACAAAGTTTTTGGGAACGGCCAAAAATGACCAAGTTTTATTACTCCCTCTGTCCCGCTAAGATTGTCCAATTTTTTCTTTTCGGGAAATCCCGCTAAGATTGTCTCATACCGAATTTGGTAAAGTTTGTGTGACTCTAAATCATTTTTACTTTATTATCAATTCAATATCAATCACATAAATTCACTTTTCTTAATAATCGTGCAACGGAAGTAATACTCCATAATTTATTATAGAGTTTTATATATAGTAAGTACTGCTGCGTATATGTTTTTACATCTAAACAGTCAAACGTCGATATTGAAGATCGGGAAAGTTCTAATTATGAAATTAATTGAGGTTAAGAGTAGTACATAAGTTGCATGCATGCCGAGCTTAACCCTCAAAAGGCAGTTTCCCCCACTATCGAACCACTTGCAAGTTCCTCTTAATTCTCCTCTTATAAAAACCACTACAAACTTCCAATCCAATAAGAAACTGCACCTTAAATAAAATTATGAACCTACCCAATTCAATCAGAATTAACTGATACTCCTCCTCCGATCTTCCTCTTATTCATGCATATATGCCCTTCAACTAACGATCAATCTAGCCAGCCTCACATGCTGCATTGTTCTCCAGGCCGAATAAATTGAAATATAGGATTATTATTAATATAGTAACACTAATAACAGTAGTAATAATTTTTTTTATTAAAAGAGAAGCAAGAAATGGAATTATTCACTAAGTGGGTTCTTGTTTTGGCTATCTTGATTTCCGTGGAAGCTTCATTTGTGATGTCGCGAGTTAGCCGAGATTATCTGCAGGCCCCTTTCCCTGCACCCGAGGCTGCACCTGCACCCCATGATGGAGAGGGCTATTCCTCCTCCTCCTCCTCCTCCTCCTCCTCCTCATCATCATCATCATCATTATCCTTCAATGTCCTAGCTTATGGAGCCGTAGGGGATGGCATTGCGGATGACACATCGGCATTCAAGATGGCTTGGGACGATGCGTGCCGAAGCAACTTATCATCACCCGTCGTGCTAGCTCCGGTTGACCTCCTTTTCTTGATCCAACCAACCATCTTCAGCGGCCCTTGTAAAAACCCTCTCACCCTTCAGGTATTTTTAAGTGTGTGTTATGAAGTGGACTTCTATGTTTTTAACTTTTAAGCCATCTAAAGTTGTATTGAAGTATATATAAAACATATAAGTCATGTTCTAGTCTTTCAAAAGAAAGATAAGTCGTGTCACGCGCAATCACGTGGTGGGGATAGAGAGGGGCCGGAGGGGGCCGGGCTTCATCTTTCTCAAGTTCTTTTTACGCTAATATAAAGAATATATTTATGATCTATCAATAAAGAGCCGTGCTTGGTTTACAATTTTTAGTATACATTTTTAGCACACTTGTCTCTCTACGCAGACAGAGTTGTCTGTATAGCAGGGCCCCACAGAGTTGTCTGTATATAGACAACTCTGTCTGCGTAGACAAACAAGTGTGCCAAAGGTGTACACAAAAAACGTATACACCAAACATTTTTCATCAATAATATGTTGACGCATTAAGTTTTGGCGGGGCGTGCAACGTAAAATTTTGAGACGTGACCGAGTTGTCTCTCGTAACACTACATTTCTGGCTCCGTCACCGAGAGTTGAGGAATTTCGTGTACTTGTGTGCAGATTGAGGGCACCATAATGGCACCAGATGGACCGGATTCATGGCCCAAGAATGTGACAAAGAAACAGTGGCTAGTTTTCTACAGAGTGAATGGAATGTCTATGCGAGGTGGTGGAGTGGTTGACGGCCGAGGTGAGAAATGGTGGAACCTTCCCTGCAAACCCCACAAGGTAATTCCATCATAAGTATTTGTTATTGTACGGTGCTCTATCTCTAGGCACTAATAGAATGAGACATTTGTATATTTCTTCAGAACGCCAAAATGACTTTCTTGTTTTGTCTCTTCTGAAAACACAACGTAACAGGGAGTAGATGGGACAACTCCACCAGGTCCTTGTGACAGCCCAGTGGTATGTACATATATAGAAAAGCTACCTAGGTTGACATATGCATACATATTTCCAGTCCCTTTTTATTTAGTTATATTTGACTTTTTCAATGAAACATGATCATTTATATTTTTTGCTAATGTATTTATGTAAAATTTAATGATTTTATACATTTATGATAATATTATGGATAAAGAACATTTTCATATCATTTTCATGTTATCAATATTTATGTGTATAAGTATATAATCGGTCAAAATTATACACCATTAACTTGAAAAGTCAAATTTGACTAAATAAAAATGGACGAAGAGAATATGTAATTATCAATTACGAGAACTTAGTAGTTTACTCCTATAAGTAATTACTAGTACTGTGTAATTTACAACTTTACATCTGTTTGGGAACTATTGAGAAAATGACACGATTTTTTGACAAATAATTATATAAAGTTATTCATGTGTATTTTAAGAATCAGTATTGATGGGTTTTGATTTTTTTTTGAAATTTACTTATATAAACCTCCCATTCTTTTATATTAGCAGCATTCCGATTTTTGCACATGCCAATGCATAGCTTTAATTGTAATTGTGTGTTTTTTCTACCTAATTGTAATTGTGTTTAATTCTCTATTAGTAAAAAAATAAAAATCAGATTATGAAAATTTACAATGAGACGAATTGAACAATATTTTTCCAAAAATAAGCCTCATACAATAATAAATAAAATGGAGTCAAAGTAGATCATGTGTATAGTATAAAACTTTCCATGTTGCAACTAAAAACAAACAATGAATAATATATTACACTCCAATATTTAACTATTTCATTACAATTACGCATGGACCGGTTCCGGTGAACCGGCCCGGGGTGTTAGAGCGGTGCGGTTCCGGGCCTACCCTTCCTTTGGAACTGGCCGGGCCCGGTTCGGGCCTATTTATTTATTTATTTATTTATTTATTTATTTATTTATTTATTTATTTATTTATTTATTTATTTATTTATTTATTTATTTATTTATTTATTTATTTATTTATTTATTTATTTATTTATTTATTTATTTATTTATTTATTTATTTATTTATTTATTTATTTATTTATTTATTTATTTATTTATTTATTTATTTGTTTGTTTGTTTGTTTGTTTGTTTTTTCAATTTTTGTTTTTTTTTTCAATTTTTTTTTGTTTTTCCCGGGTTGGGCTAGGTGTTTGGGGGGAGGGTGAGGGGGGTTAATTAGAAAAGCAAAAAAAAGAAGAACTGACCCGGGACCGGCCCGGACCCGGTTGCAAACCGGCCCGGTTCCGGGCCCGCCCCCAAAAAATAAAAGCTCGGTTTGGACCGGAACCGGTCCATGCCTAATTACAATGTATTGTAAATTTATCCTCATATATTTTTGTTTCACTATGTTGAACTCATTTCGTATATGAACTTTATGAGATATTTTAAATTTTTAATCGAATTTTAGGATAGAACTCGTGTCTTAGCACGTTTAAATTTGAGCAGCACTCTAAATTAAGTTAGATTGGTCCCGACTCTCGAGCCCATTTGATCTATATACACATTGAGTTAGCGAAAAGCCGAAAATTAAAGGTTAATTTGGTTTGTTTTTTGTTTGTTTGTTTAAGCGAGCAGGCTTTAAGGTTCTTCACAAGCTCAAAATTGAGGGTGGGGGAGCTTACGATAAAGAACAGCCCAATGTTCCATTTCCGGTTTGACCACTGCAATGAGGTCCACATTGATTCACTCCACATCATAGCACCCCCACACAGCCCCAACACTGATGGAATCCACATTGAGAACACTTATGATGTCACTATACAAAACTCCATAGTCTCCAATGGTATAGTAATCCATCAAATTGTTTCCTTTGTTCCATGCATGCCACTTGCTAATTGCTATATTGATCCATTTTTATCCTACTTTTGCTTAGGTGATGACTGTATATCCATTGGAGCAGGCTCTTACAATGTAGATATAACCAACATGACTTGTGGCCCTGGTCATGGGATTAGGTACAACTCTTTCACACTAATCATATAATAATTAGTTTTCTAAAACTATACACTCACTGCATTGTGAAGAATGAGTTGGGGAGGCTTATCAAGCATACGATTTAATTTGTAGTTACTGTAAAATAAGTTGTTCTTATGTCAAAGTCTTACATTAGAAAAATAAAATAAAATAAAATAAAATAAGAATGGTGAGTCTGTCCAACTTTGGGTTAAAATTATAAACTTTGTACTTTTAAAAAAGTATGGTTAACAAAAAACATTTTCATATTAGAACTACTTTCACACTCCTCATATAAATATATTATCGGTCAAAGTCTAGCATTTTTCATCAGAAAAGTGAAAGATGACTAACTAAAAATGACAAAAATCGAGTATAACTTTTTATGTTTTGAATAATCTTGTTTTAAAAATACGATGAGTCAAACTTGACCATCATTGGTCAAGAAAAATCAATATAACCGTCTTATGAGATCGGGAGTATAGTATATGAGTGCTTGAGTGTGTAGTGATGCATGTGTGTATGTATTTGATTGGGTGCAGTATTGGCAGCCTGGGCATGAAAAACAGTAGGGCATGTGTATCAAACATAAAGGTGAGGGATTCAAGCATCCGGGATTCTGACAACGGAGTCCGGATCAAGACGTGGCAGGGTGGGTCCGGATCCGTTTCCAACGTTGCCTTTGACAACATAAGAATGGACAACGTCCGGAACCCCATCATAATAGACCAGTATTACTGCAGCCATGCCGCTGGCGTCTCCTGCACAAACCAGACCTACGGAGTGTCCATATCAGGTGTGACATACTCAAAGATCAAGGGAACTTTTGACATCAGAAGCCCTCCAATGCACTTGGCCTGCAGCGAAACTGTCCCGTGTACCAACTTAACCTTGTCCGAGGTTGAGCTGTACCCTTCACAAGGGCAGAGAATTTCAGACCCTTTCTGTTGGAATGCCTATGGGGATCAGGTTACTGCCACTATTCCTCCTATCTCCTGCTTGTTGGATGGTACTCCTCAGTCATTTCCTAGTATTACTTATGAAGATCATTGTTCGTGATCCATACCTGAGGCTAGGCTGGCTACGAATTACATATATTGGACCTTAGTTTTGCATTAATGGTCAACAGATGAAGCTAATTATGTTGCTAGGAAAATCCATCAAGCTTAGCTGGCTATGGGTATGATTTAATTTATTAATTTGAAATGAGAATTAGTGTAACATGCAGAATAATGTGCGTTCTTAGCATGTAGAAAATTAATTATGATAGATCAGTTAATTGTATACATTCATTATGATCAATTCATACCATTATTTATTCATAAGGAGGTAGGAACAAAGAGTGCATGAGTGCATCCGGTAACCAGTTTTTGCTACTTTGATTCTATGAAAATGTTACGAGGTTTTAAGTCATTATTTTTGCAAGTCTAGAGCAGCTTTTTACTGTCAAAGCTAGATTTTTAAAAATTGTTTTCCATAAAGTATGATTCAAGAAATACATGATAGATTAGGAAAATTAAGTACGAAGTTTATATTGAGCACAACATATTAAAAAATGGTGATTATAAAGGTCTATTCTTGAAAATAACTATTCATACTGCTATCCAACAGATGTTTTAAAGTAATATTCCGTATTTTTCATTTTTACTTTGTGTTCAATAATACTAGTATACTACGTATGATGCGTTGATTTATACTTTGTTCCAATATAGAATTCCACAATTCAATTAGAGAAACACTTTAATTTGTTTATTTAAATGGGCAAAAGTATGACTTACAATACACAGTTACCATATGAGTAATTTTTGTTGACCACAGCACAATATGTGACCCGTTATAGTAGTCACATTCTTATCTACACATTCTGTTTCAGTAACATAAAATATTTTGTTATTTTTATTAGAGTTGAATATAAGAGTAATTTCATCTCTCATCCATCTAAAAAAGTAAATTATAAATCGGTTGGAGATAGACAGATAATGAGCCCGTTTGGTAGCACCAAAATCGGCTGTTTTGGCTGATTCTGCTGAAATTTATGATATTCTGGCTGGAGTGGCTGTTTTGGCTGATTCTGCTGATTTAAGAAAAAAATATTTTAAAAATATATTTTATTAATAAATTAAAGAAAAAATTATATGTAAAAATAGCTAAAATGGTCCTCTACAGTAACTTCAGCCAATACAGCCAGAAAAGTAACTCCAACCTTACTTTTTCGGCTTATTACACAATTCAGCGCGCGAAAGTAAAAGTTACGTGTTTGGTGAAAAAACTGGCTGATAAGCCTGATAAGCCGAAAACAGAGTTCTCCAAACAGGCTCTATAAGGGAATGTTTGCAAAAGATACAAAAAATTATTTTCAGGGTTTTTGCTAAAAAACTAAAATCAGTGTTTTCAAGTGACAATTTTTATTTAAATTAAGCTAGAAGTTAAAAGCTAGAAGCATATGAACAGTGCTTTAAACTATTTTTCACATTTTGTATTAAATAAAAAACATTTCTTATCAATATCAGCTTTTATTTTCTCAAAATCGCTTTTATCTCAAGCGTTACCAACGTTAACCATTATTAAGCTTTTTTTTTTCTAAAATCTATTTAAGAATGCATTTTCAAAGTATAAGCAACTCCAACATGAACCACACAAGTCCAGGTGGTTCTTACTAGATCTGCATATACACGGCCGGCACTATCATGTAGAAACTATAGATGACGCCTTTTTTTTATGTTCTTTGAGGTTGGCCCTCCCAAAGATTTTATTTGATTATGGATTTATGGGCACATCTCCACTTGACTAAATACCAACATCATTAACGATGACGACAGCTAGGGCCTTAACCACCTTTTTGCATCTTTGATCTAAGTCATACAAGTGTAATTTTCAATCAAATGTGTAGTTATTTGGGACTAAAACAAGAATTTTACTAAACAATCACAATTGGATAAAAAAAAGTGACATTTTTTTTTAATTTTATAAAATGAGACTAAAAATGGGTATGGAGACCATTATACCCTCATTAGGCCCAGATGACCCATACAGTGACCAGTTACGGTTACCCAACCAATTACAATTACTCGACCCATCAGTTACAGTTACCCGACCCGCTAATTACAGTTATCTGACCTACCAGTTACAGTTACCCGACGGGTCAATTACAATTACCCGACATGCCAGTTACGATTATCTAATTTGACCAGTTGTAGTTATCAAATCGACCAATGACAGTTACCGAGTTCGACCATTTACAGTTACACGGGTCTGATAATGATTATCGTCAACCACCACCATCGGCCACCATCGAACACAGCACGCCCCATCCCCTGCCAGCCCCCTCCCATGTGTCACCCCAACCCCCTGGCCTTCCAAAACCACCATGCCTAGCCCCTTCGACACCACCAACGCCTCAATCCCATAAGAAAAGGAAGAGTGTGGGGATGGTAGACAGAAGCAACGAATGAGAGAAGAAGCATGGAAAAGGCAACTGTCGGCAGCGGTTTCAATTGTGCAGTCGACTGCCCTCACTATAGAGTGAATTCTTCGTCCTTCTAGAGCCTCATTGTTGTTGCCACAACATTTAGTTTTTTATTGGGGGAGAGGGGGAGTAGGGATGGACTCGGGCCAGGCGGCCCGGCCCGGAACCGGCCCGGCCCGGTTACTGTTTGAACCGGCCCAGCCCGGGAACCGGTCCGGGGGGCGGTTTGGGTCGGTCCGGTAGGAATGCAGTTCGGGCTCGGGCCCTAGGATTGGTGAACCGGCCCGGCCGGTTCGGGCCAAATTATTTTTTTTTTTATTTTTTTTAAGTTTTTGGGTTGGGCTGGGTATTTTGGGCCATTTGAGGTGGTTTGGGTGGTTTGGGGGTGAGGGGGAGAGTTGGGGATTAATTAGGAAAAGCCAAAAAAAAAAAAAAAAAAAAACCGAGGCCTGGCCCGGACCTAGGATTACCCGGGCCGGTTCCGGGCCTCCCATTCCTGAAGCGAGGCCCGGCCGGGCCCGGGCCCAAACCGGTCCACCCCTAGGGGGGAGGGGGGATGGAAGAAGAGGACCACGTTAAGCATTTGGGGCTTTGGGCTGAAAATAATCCAGGGGTAATTCTGGCAATCTCTCCCTAATGTAAAGTAGTACTCCCTTCGTCCTGAAAAGGTTGGCCAAAGTTGACTTTCACGTGGATTAATAAAGTAAAAACTGTATGGTTGAAATTTGTGCAGAGGAAAGAGAATTAGTTTTAGCCACATATTCTTTACTTTAAATGGAAATGACAAATCTTTTTGCGACATCCAAAAAAGGAAATTTGGTCAACCTTTTTGGGACGGAGTGAGTAATACATTAGGGATGTTTTCACTTGGACTGTAATTTGTTGGTCTGGTCTGGTATGGTCTGATAAACGTCTGTCGTCCGGTCTCTGTGTATTTTATAACAACGAAAGTCAAGTCTGGTCTGATTTGTCCGTTTAAGTCTGGTCTGGCCTAGTCTGTTTAAGTCTGATCTGGTCTGTTTAGGTCTGGTCTGGGACTCAAAACAGTTCAAGTAAAAACATCCTAAGTCATTAATCATTTTTAGTTGTTTTTCATGCTTTAAAACAAAGATGCGGTCCGGGCATGCAAATGTGACAATGTCAAATGTTTAAGTAAATCATGTCTCGTGCACACCAAATATACTCAATATAAAAAAAAAATCGCCATAAAATTTGTGCGAACAAATTATGTGATCCATATAACAACGTTTTCTTTTGAACTGTTTTCAGTCCCAGACCAGACTAATGACCAGATCAGACTTTGATAGTTATAAAATACACATAGACCAGACTAGCTCAGACCAGACTTAAGCATACAAGAATAGACCAACAAATAATTGTCCAAAAGAATACACCCTAAGTTAAAATTTTGACAGCTCTTGATTATATTCTAGGTATGGGTGAGAATAGGCTAGACCTGTCAGGGACCTACGGCCTGAACTGTTTAAGGCTTGGCCTGTTTAAGTCCTGGCATGTTTAATAATCAAGTAAGGCTTCGGGCTAGGTAGTTTACTCGCTACTCGGTAGCTACTCGGTCAAGGGCCGAGTAGCGAGTATGACCGATTACTCGGGATTACTCGGTGATTACTCGGCCTAGTATTAATTAAATATAAAAAATATATTTAAATATAGTAGTCTTAATATAGTAATAAAATTGTCTTTAAATTGTCTTAAAATGTTTAGAAGTGAATAAAAGGATAGAAATTGTCTTAAAATGCATATAATACGTATACAATACCAGAATACAACTTCAAGAAGCACGAGCAGTGGAAAGGCAAATATTTTCTGTAGTTTTTTGGCACCTATTCTTATTCCAATTGAAGAACTTCAAAGTAACTTCAAAGTGGCACCTACCGAACAACTAGTCCTCAAAGGTAGTTCCCTAAATGAAAATTGCAGCTCACCCAAAACCAAACATGATGCCTTTTTGCTAAGCTATATTTTTCACCTTTTCAATTAAGAGATTTTATTTCAGCATTCAGCAACTCAGTTCTCAGGGGTACATTCAATACATTCACTTTAGTTGGCCAAAGACTTGAAAATGTACAATGAAAACACCGGTTTAAGAAGCACAAGCAAACGAAGAACAATCCAAAATTCTCAGAGTTTATTACAGTATACAGAGAAGAATATAATAGGCAACATGAGGGAGAATAAGAAACAACACAGAGGATAATCTCAATTTAATTTTTTTCCAAGCGAAGGTAATGTTTTTTTTTACATACCGAGTACTCCCGACTAAATCGCCTTTTTGACCCACTGGCCAAGTTGGCTAACTCGCCGAGTACTCGGCGAGTAACTCGGAATAATAACTCGGGCCGAGTAATGTGCTACTCTGCAAGGTCATAGGCCGAGTAGGGAGTACTCACTGAGTACTCGCTGAGTACTCGCCGAGTAAATAACCCAGGCTTCGGGTTTTCGAATAAGAATAGCATGGTAGTTTTGTTTCTATGATCTTATGATGTGAGTTATGATCCACAAGTTACGGTCTTTTCGACCCCTTTCGAATTTCGATCCGTGCTAGGATCTTGAGTTTAAAATAATCTTGGCAACATACACCATACTAATGATACATTGGCATTAGTATGGTGTATGTTGCCAAGGTTATTTTAATACAAAGAAAAAAAAATAGTGGATGCCTTCTTGGTCATGTTGATAGTATCGCTTTTAGTTTTTCACGATATAACATGACTGTATTGGAGAAATATAATGATTTCTTTATCAAAAATATACTCTCCATTCATTAAGAAGATAGAAATAAAACAGAAACAAAAAATACATGTGAGAAGCTACGCCTACGCATCTGGTCTTCCTCATCCACCTACAGTTTTTTAGGGCTCCTCAAAACATTGCCTTATTTCACTGCTTAAAACTCTTTTCATATGCAGAGTTCTTTCCATTCCTCAGAGCTACTTCAACTCTAATGGGTACTCTTCCTCTATAGAGACGGTAAATTTGTTGATTAACCCAGAATTTAACTTCGCCCTGATATTCCTGTTTCCAGTTCCTAACACCTACATATCAGTTGAGGTTGTTAACCGAGTAGTTTTACATACTTCATACGTTGAATTATGTGTGCTGAGCTAGGATTTTGATATGTTAGGACCAAAGGACATTCTAATCATAGTGAGAACTCCAAGAAGGTAATCTGGGGTGAAATGACCTAGTTTTGCAAATCAATACACTTCCCAAGCCATCAGACGCGATAGATGTCACACAATCAAACGGTTAATCTGAATAGCTACACTATTTATTGAAGGGAAAAGGGGCAAATAAGCCCTCGAACTAACCAAAAAAGTGCAAATAAGCCCTTTTGTAGGAGGTTTCGTCCGGCCATCGTCATTTGAGGAGGTTCCCGGTGGAATTTTTTGATGAGTTTTTTTTAGCATCTTATTCATTAAGTCTAGTTTGCTCATATCGAATTTCAGCTAAAAATTCAATCGGGAAGACAGTCAAATGAATTTTTGAAGATAACTGCGTAGTTAAACAACACAGTATATTTCGGAAAATCATTTGAGTGCCTTCCCGGTTGAATTTTTAGCTGAAATTTGATATGGCCAAACTAGACTTAATGAAGAAGATACTCAAAAAAATTTATCAAAAAACTCTACCGGGAACCTCTCCAAATAATGGCGACCGGACAGAACCTCTTACAAAAGGGCTTATTTGCACTTTTTTTATTAGTTCGAGGGCTTATTTGCCCCTTTTCCCTTTATTGAATAACCAGGTACCTCTATTCACATTTCATTTGATTTTGGGGCTGTGAGAAAAACTTCTTTGCATTTTGTGCCACATCTGCCTCTATAATAGCTTCTAGCACAATGTCAGATCCCTTTGCTTCAGCTAGAGCAAGCAATTCAAGAAAAAGTGAACATTAATTACTGCCTCTATTTGATTTATTGTGAACAGTTTGATGATGACTGATGAGACATGTAAATATAAATATATATATGTGTGTGTGTGTGTGTGTGTTAAAAGGGGTGATGTTCGTGATGCAGCCTCATGCATAAAAAGTTGCTTGAAGCCAAAGATGTGGCTCATCATCAATAAAGCATCCCCCCAAGGTATAGCTCTATCACACGGCAGGACGTACTTACTTAAGGTCATGCCCGGAGTTGAAGGGTAAAAGTTCATGCCACTGCCTAAACATCAAGGGAAAATTCATGCAACCTCCCTGAGCAACAACCCACAACTTAAATCCTCCTCCAATCCTAGTACATCAAAAGTGATGCACAATTCAGACAAAAAAATGGTACTATTTAATACGACGTGAGAGTAGATAAGGTATGCTATCCCCCCAAACCCTAGGAATCAGACGCCTCTCCACTAGCTCCCCCTCCCCTACGAAAACCACCAACTCCTAAAAATAGAGAAATGAAACAACAACAACAACAACAACAACAACAAAAACAACAACCGAGACATGGTCCCGAAAGGTTTTGGGGTCAGCTAACATGAATCGGTATATGAAACCGGAACTTAAAGAGATGAAAAAGATAAAAAGATAAAGATAAGATAAAAAGATAAACAAAGATAAGATAAATACAAAAAAAGATAAGATGAAAAGATAAAAAAGATAAATAGGATAAAAATATAAAAAAGATAAAAATAGAAAATAACGACAACAACAACATTACCCCAGTGCCGTAAAGGCTCCCACCTACGGTGGAGTAAGGGGGTTGGATGTACGCAGCCTAACCCCTGTGCTAAAAGCACAGAGAGACTGTTTTGAGATGACCAATGGTAAAAATAGAAAAAAACCCAGCCTCTAGAATCTGGTCCATATAAATAAGCAAACAAAACTAACTATGTCACTGAAAAGGTCAATTTAACAAATGTACACCCGATTAATTTCAGTGAGGTACAACCACTTGAAATAGCAAAATTCAGCTATGTTTTTAAAAATTATTTGTTGCTTTATATAGATTTAACATACTTAGCTTGTTTGAGGATACAATAAAAGAATACATTCCGTATTATAAAAATTAGCTTCTTTTGTGACAGCACGATAAGTTTTCAAACAAACTAATATTTTTGGACAGAGGGCAGGAAAAAAGATGACATATACCTGTATGATCAGGCAACAGACCTGCACTTTTAGCAGAGACTGGAAGCACAAGATTACCAGATTTATCAGGAACCTCATCCAGAGCTTCGCAGTTTTCATACTTGGGTTTTGATAATGTGATTTCGGCGAGTTTTGCATATGCTGTTGCTTGACTGTTCATATCAGAAGGGGTTGAGGGCTTAAAGTTACAATCCTGCAAGTACAGCTACATCAATCCTTTAATTGGAAAATGATAGGAAAACTTGGTACTCCAAATGAATATATAGAGATGGCAAGTACCTTGGGTGTGTTACTGATAGTTGTGCCCTTACTTTCAGACTTTTCAGGTCCATTTTCCACCGATGTACCAGCACCAGCAGTGGGTGGGTGGTTTTTTATGTTATCAACTAGCCTTGTGGTTAATGGACCCGGATTCACAAAAGAAATGGTTCGGATTTCATGTCGTATGGCTTCTAATTGAGCAATTGTATCTTGTAGCTCTTTATGGACCTTTAAGAGAAATCCCAGAAAAAAAATCATCCCCGCCATACACAAGTATGTCAGATATGAGAAAAAGATACTGGAGTATACATCTATATCGAATGATGATTACTATATACTACGTATAAGTTAAAAGAAGAGTAAACACCTAAATAAATAGGTGAAGGAAGATAAAAGACACCTGTCGAGCTTGAGTTTGCTGCATGACACTCTCAAATTGACCACGGGCCATTTGAACATAGCCAATAGCACGGCCAGATAACCTCCCAGCAGTTCTTGCTATGACTGGAAGGTCCTTAGGTCCTGACAAATTAAAACCCTGCCTCATCATATATAAATCAACACATGAAGGATATAATCAATCTCATACTGAGAAGCAAGTTTTGGGAATAGGAAACAGGATTATCAGAACTATAATGAAAAACCGGGTGAATCGAAGACAGTTTACACTGCCATTACAGAGGAAGAGTACCAATTAAAGCCGCAGTAGCTCCAAGCAATAGAAACAACTCTCCGTATGAAAACCCTAGCATGTCTTTATGTCTCTAGTTTGAACAAAGAATTAAAGGGAGCTGGAGTCAATAGATCTCGCTGTTCGTTTGCTGAGGAAGCCAGAGTGTCTAGACCTGAGAAGGAATACAATACAGAAGAAGCAATTAAACATTAGAAGAAATAATTTTATATGGGGAAAAATCACATTACAAGGGTCAAGGAATAATTTTATGTAACAAAAACAACAACCAAGCCTTATTCCCAAAAGAGAATCATTTTATGTGAACTTAATTTATATTTTGTCCAGCAAAAAATTAAAAAGAAGATTTACCCTTGACGATGTCAACTATTCAAGCATAGGCAAACAAGCGGGAATCCACAGTGCAAGCGCCGGAAATTAACTTTGCTTTCACATTTCAAAGCATAGAATGACTATGTACTAACAGAAACCGTTAATTGTGTAATATGAAGTTAAAAAAAAAACACAAAGAGGAACCAAAGCTAGTATCTAAAGTCTCCAGTTCAAAAATCAACTCTTAACCAACTTTGAGCTTCCTGTCTTTCCAATGGTATCTCCATAAACAAACAGAAATGCAATTTACAATGTGCAATTAGGTGTCTGCTCAATCTTGAGCAGCATTATTAGTATCATAAAGAAGTTTACAACCACAAGCTTTCCAAATTAATGCAAATGGTATCTTAGGAATTTGAGGTGCAACTTAGAATAAGGATTTAGGTAAATAAGTTGGGCCATGAGTCCATGACTAGTGGCTGATCTATTGCCTCTATTAGGGCCTGGGATCGGTTCGGTTCTTGTTAAAATTCGATGGATCCGTATTAAAAATCGCGTTAAATTCGGTTCGGTTCTAGTTAAAAATGTAGTTGTTAAATTCGGTTTGGTTCTAATTAAATTCGGTTCGGTTCTTACCCTTTTTCGGTTCCTTATAAAAATTTATTATCCTAATAAAACGAACACATTTTACCTTCAGTTACGTAAAAAAAATCAAATTTCAAATCATGAAATTATGACCATTACATTACACATACCTTATATCCCAATGTTCAAATATCACAAAAAGTCCAAGTGCAAACATTAAATTTAAACATAATAAAAACATAAAGGTTTAAAATAGGCATCAACTGTCAAGCAAAAAGGTTTAACAGCTCCAAGGTACACATCCAATATCAGGTAGTTTCAATACCACAATAAGTTCTACTAATAATGCACCATAAGTAAAAAGTACATAGTTATAAACTGATTGGTAATATTTGTAATTTAATATGAACAAATAACAATGTAATCAGCGGCATATTAATTCCTTTTTTTAGGTGAACTCAAATAACAAATACAATTACAAACAAACAATAAATATAATTCATAAAAAAATAATAAATATAAAAGTGGACTAAACTAGTTAAAAGTAATTACTCGGATTGGCCTGATCCATAATATTATGCAAGACAAATATTTCTGATAAGAATTTTCTGACCGAATCGCCGTCTGGCCACCTCAATTTGAGGTGCTTCCGAGTATAATTTTTTGATGACATTTTGTGAGCATGTTTTACTTGAAGGGTATATTATATCCACCAAATTTCAACTTAAAATTCAACCGGGAAGTGAGTTAAATAAAATGTTGAAAAACATTGCGTTTTTTACATATATTTTGACGTAGTATTTTTCAATAATTTATTTAACTGACTTCCCGATTGAATTTTAAGTTCACATTTGGTGGACATAATCTATACTTCATGAAAAATAAGCTCACAAAATTTCATCAAAAAATTCCACCCAGAAGCATCTCAAATGAAGATTACGCATGCAATGTATAACAACCGGAACCGAACCGATCCTATGCTATAGGAACCGAACCGAAAAAAGCTGAAGTCCAAAATTATAGGAACCGAACCGGAAAATTCGGTTCGGTTCGGTTCGGATCGGACGATCGGTCTGATAGTTCTTTTCTGAATATGGGTGGAAACGACATAGGTGGACTTTTGAGTATGTAGTCGTTAAATTACATAGACTAGGGGTGGGCATGGGTCGGTAATCTTAAAAAAAAAATAAGAACCGCCGGGTAAGTTGGCCGGGTAAGTGAATTTTAATGATAGGAACTAGACCCTACCCGCCCCGTTTGAAACGGGTTGGTTCGGTCCGAGTTTTGCGTATTAGTCATGCATTCAACCAAACAGAAATTCTGAAAATCTACAGCATGCACTATATTAAGGCTTTGTTTGAAAATACTAAAAAAAACCGCTTCCCAGTTTTTGGCTTAAAATCAACAACTCAACAACAAACAGAAACTTAAAGTTCCAAGTTCCAAGTTTGCAGATAGAGAAGATAACTAAAAGTCTAAAACAGAAAAGATACAGAAGCAGCCTCCCAAAAGATACCAGGTTTCTGAGCTTATTAGTCTGGCTTACTACCTGGTTTCTCAGCTTATTAGTCATCTTATAAACATGTATATTTTTCCTATAATTTGAGAGGCCCAGTGAGGGAAAAATCAGCCCCCAATGTTATATTAAAATTTGAAAGGAAAATTCAATAGCGTGCATTAGTTTGATCAACTCCTTCTTCCTTCTATTGAGCTAGCGATATGAATCCCATCTAGTGTAAAACATAGCTAATATGCTCTGTGAATGAAGTTATAGTGTCCATTAGTTTTATACAATCAAGTTTGTCAGACCAAACTATCAAACTTTTATCAAACGAGTTTTTTTTATTTACGCTTTATTTGTTTAGCTCTAAAACAAGTTTGTGTTCATTTCATTAACCAACCAAACAATACAAACATTAATCAAACTAAAACACACACATCATTTCATAACCCCTTATAATCAAAATCGAAGAATCTAATTGAATGTATTGAGATAAAATAAAACAGAAGTTCAAATACTTAGATTAATAATTTTAAGAACCTGGAATCAGGATATGTAAAGCTGGAGCCTCGTTCCTAGTTCGTACTTGGCCAACGCTGAAAGACGATCGACGACCGCCTCTTCGTCGACGGAAGCCAATTGACGCCTCTATTGCGAGGGATCTTCAATCGTAGTGACCTTCGTCTTTTTTCTTTCTCCCTTACGGACTTCTATCTTTCTTCCCATATACGAGGCTGGACTTTGGGTTCATTAATCCATTTAATGAACACTGGGCCAATATTTTGTACTGGATTAAATGTAATATTTAGATTGTGTTATGAAATAAAAAAGTTTTGCTTTTCAAAAAAAAAAAAAAATTGGGGTTGTCAAGTATCTTGTAGTCTCATGACATCGTTGTGACACTCCTAAAAGTGTTATATGTTCAATTTGATCTCAGTTTAAGGGTGTTGGCCTAAACATAGAACTACTACTACATGTGTTAGGAAGCTTTGCAAAAAAAAGAGTTGGTTTTTTTTGCGACAGTCGCATTTTAGTCTATCTAATCTAAAGTAAGGTTGAAGTTACTTCTCTGGTTGTATTGGCTGAAGTTACTGTAGATGACCGTTTTAGCTATTTTTACATATGATTTTTTCAATAAAATATATTTTAATATTTTATTAATATAATATATTTTAAAAATATTTTTTCTTGAATCAGCAGAATCAGCCAATGCAGCCAATTCAGTTAGAACTTCATAAATTTCAGTAGAATCGGCCGGATAAATGTTTCGATAGACAATTATACTACGGAGTACATATTATTACAAGCATTACTCAGGCACTCAGCCCAAAATGTAAGGTATTCTTTAAAAGGATTATCATTGTTAAGATTCGGGGTTCCATCCTAAAAGGTCAACCTGTTAGGAGGAGTAGCCCGAAGCTTAATATAGCACTCTAGTGCTTCTCAATTTTCCGGTGTGGGACATTTAACACCCCTCCTCACGACCAGACACTTCGTCTGGATCGTGTCGTCATTCATTTTTCATCGGTTCGTCAATTTTTTTTATCGTGTCGTCATTTTTCATAAGGGGCCCCACACCATGGATCGATTTGTCTCTGATACCATGTTAAGACTTGGGGTTCCATCCTAAAAGGTCAACCTGTTAGGAGGAGTAGCCCGAAGCTTAATAGAGCACTCTAGTGCTTCTCAATTTTCCGGTGTGGGACATTTAACAATCATCGTTGATATTACAAAAAGTATGGGTGGTTAATATCATGGACAATTTTCAAAACAAGAATAATATATCATGGACGTACATAGGAGGGATGGGTGGTTAAGCAAAATTTAAAGATATATAATTGGGAGACTAGATATAAAAAAGTTGATCCTACGTACTAGAGATTGAAAATATTAATAAGTTTTCAAAGTTTAGTTCATCAAACTCCTAGTGTAAATTTGTCAAAAAAAAAAAACAAACTACTAGTGTAAATTTGCATACATGACCATCACAAGTTTGATCTTAAAGAGAAAGTATTATCGTTTTAAAATTGGCCTAAATAAGAGTAAAAGTGTGTGAATTCTATAATAAAATTATTGATATTATCAAACTTTAAACATCAAAATATATTTCAAACTAATTCAAATTAGAGGATAAAACATGACAAATGAATTAGACAAACTAATTCGAATTAGGGACACCCCATTCACTACCATAGAAATAATTTAAGTGCGTCTTTTGGTACAAACTCCAAATGTTACATTTACACAAATTAGATTTTGATGTAACACACTCCCACTCACATACAAAGAATATATACAAGTGAAACTTATTACAGTCACCCATTCTTATGAAAAATCTAAAGAATTCAAGTGAACATATTTGACTCGGTCCTATATTACTAAATGTGATTATAAATAAATCCATATGGGAGTGAACTTAATTTCACCCCAATTAGTTTTATTTACACATTTAATAATGTCATATATGTGAGAGATCACATGGACTCAAGACTAAATCTAATAAATTTCAATCAAGTTGGGAAACTGCTACAGTTGACTCCCTTCATAAGTTTGACCAAATTGCCAATTCGCCGGAGCTGCGCCGTTACTGACGGTCGTCCTCCCGTCGCTGGTGGTGACCCGGAAGGAGAGGCTCTGCCCATTGAGATTGGAATGGCTCTGCCAATTCTGGCCCCAATTTCTGGACATTGGCTGCCACCCGGTGCGTGAACCCTTGATTTCTACCTTCTGAACGTCGCCGGCGCCGGCGACATTTGTGACCAGCACCAAGTTGAAGAAGGCGTGCCCGTTGATGGTGAACCTTATTCCTCCTGGTCTCCTGCATGCCACTCTGTAAAAAAACCAACATGAGTAAATCTTATTTTCGATTTATCAATCATTTCTTTTACTAAATACTCTATTATGAGTGTCACGTAATGAATTGTGTAATAATCTAAATAAATAAACTTTGAATTACTTTCCAATTATATGTACTGCAGTTCAGGTAGATGATTATTTAACTATTTTTCATAAATTTTCTTTATTTTATAATACAATACTCCCTCCGGTTCTTTTTAAACTTCAGTGTTTGACTTCACAGTTATTAAGAAAATAAAGTTGACTTTACTGTAGAATACACTGTTGAGACACTGTTTGGCACTGTTTGGCACTGTTGAGACACTGTTTGGCACTGTTTAGCACTGTTTAACACTGTTTTGATGTAGATTTCTTTGCCAAATAAGGAAATAATGAAGTGTGAAGTTTATTTTGGACCGTCCCAAAAAGGAAAGTGTGAAGTTTATTTAGAACCGGAGGGAGTATATTTTAAATATAATTTTCACATAACTCACCCAATTGGGTAGTTTCAATTAAATTTCACTAATTTCAAGAGATCAACCTAGTTCTGTCGATAAAATTTCATGTATATAATAAAGTTTGTTATTAGGTTATAAAATTTGACTTTTGTTAAAACATGAGATTCCATCCTAAAACATTAATTTCACATTTTTGATGTGGAACTTTAACATCTCTGCTCATGATTATACAGTTTGTCTGAATTTTGTCGTTCTCCATTTTTTCCATTGGTATGCCATTGACATTCTTTGTAATCATAGTTATAAGAAATATGATCGATTTAACATTGATACCATTAAGATATGTGATTTCATTCCATATTAAAAAAATGTGATTTCATTCCAAAATATTAACTTCAAATCTTGATAGAGCACTTTATTACTCTAGAATAGTGCACTATTTCAACAATTTTCAACAAGGTCAGTAAGAAGTAAGAAGTGGAGAATATGTACCTTCTGAAAGATATAGGGACAATTCCGGCTCTGTATTGAGCTATATGAAGAAAGGCTGGCTCGGCTAAATCGAAGTGTTGCAGGGGAGGGTTGCACCACCCACCATTGCTATTAGACAGGCCCGGGTTCGGCGGGCAGAAGTTCGTCGCCGTCACGGTGATGGTCCCGGACAGGCACGACTTTCCGGCGACTGCGGCGTTGCACTTGAGCTCGTAGCAAGAGCCGCATCTCAGGCCATTGTTGAACAGAGCAGAGCTGAGCGCGGCGGTGTTGGTGCCGTACCCGGAGCTATACAGGTTTCCGTAGCCACAGGCTCCTCCCATTGTGCCGGAGGCGTCGCTACCGCCGTAGAATGTGGCGTGAGCGCTCTGCCAGCCGCCGCCGTAGTTACCGGAAGCTCCATGGAATAAGCAAAAGTTGAGAGAGAGCAGCAGGATGGGAAATAATGGTCGAATTGCCATTTGACTTTATGAGCAGGATAAATATGATGTTTGGGTGTTTGAGCATAAGCTATATATAGACGGGAGTCAATAGATACCCCGGCAGTATGTTCCACTTGAAGAAAGGAAAGAAACAGGTACGGAGTAAAATTTTCACAAATTATTAGCGATTTTATAATCAAACTCAGAAACAGGAAGATTACACAAATTCTGATGTAATCAATCCTTTTTGTCTACCGGTGTTGATAAATTTTGATTAGAAAGTTATCGGGCGTGTTTGTCATTCAGCAGATAGCGGTTTATATTAACGGATTGTCAATAGTGGATTCAGTTAGCGAGTTTGACTCGCGGAATAAATTGGTGGGTTGTTAGAAGATGTACGGTAATTTAACTGTTTGACTGTTTGGCCATAAAATTAGTAGAAAACGTCATTTTTCAAAATGTCAACCCGAAACCCTGCTATTAGCAGTGTTTTCATTTCAGCGTTTTCGTCCAAAACGCTAGTGTCGAACCGCTATTTACCAAACAACTTTTTGACTCGTTAAAAAACTGAAAGTGGTCAAACCGTCATTTTTCCGCTGAAACGCCGTTCACCAAACACCCTCATCGTCTTACCAACATCAGCATGTAAAAAAGCATATAATTGCTTGATTTCAATGGGTCAAGTGACGTATTTACAAAGTCTTTCTGTTGAAGGGACTGATAATAGAATCACTAGTTCGAGGACTCGTTTGCCCCCTTTTTCTATAATTTTTTTATGCATACTTCGTTAGTCCAATAAAAATCTTTTAACTTCAATTTGCACGTAAAATAATAAATTAAAAATTGTGTGATTAAAACTTGAGACGAGAAAAGAAAAACTATCTTAATCACATATTTATTACTTTAAATAAAAATGACAATATTTTTTTGAACATTTGGTCAAATTTTATAGGAAGAAGGAAGTATATTTTTAGATAAAAAAAAGTTGCATAAAAAGTAAAGTTTTTTGCATGTATGAGTTAGGACCTAGTATGACCCTTTAATTATACTTGTGACTATGAGTGTCTATCATGCCGGTAGGAATTCCATTAACTATTGTCAAAAGAAGTATGGAAATTTTCACATCAATAATCTTAACTATTGGTGGTCTTCCCATATTAATCCCAAATATTGGTTATTCCAAAATAATATGAAATATTAGGTGCATCTTCTTAAAATAAACCGGTGACCCGCATAAACCAGTTGATCAAGTCACCCTGACACGTGTCATAATTTTATTGGTTTTTATTTTTTTTACCATGTTTTCCTTGTTTCATTTTCTTTCATCTTTCTTCTTGGTAGCTTCCATTTCCTTCATCGAATTCGGAGGCTTTGAGGCGACTAAGGATGTCGTCAATGTCCAGGTCTAGTAATTCTTCATTGTCGGCCAGGCGGCAGCCCAATTGTTCTTCAACGCCGGTCATCCCACCAGCGATTCATCAAGTGGTCTTGATCGCCGACCACCCATTTAGGAATTTTTTCGGTTAGTTATTTAGACATAGTG